GTCCTCTGATTAATTATAAAGTCTATCTGTTGCTCCTCCGGTTGCTTCATATCATGCAAGCCTAACAGTCCGAATGCCAAATCTAGAACAATCCAATTTAGTTGTGGCTGTCAAACAGTGTGAACACATGTCTCAAACACCTCGTTGGAGACGTCTACGTCAGCAGGGACATGCATTGCGTCACAGCCGAGGCTATTGAGGGTCAACTGTTTTGGGGGTTTTCTATCAAGCAGCACGACATTACAAAGAGGATTAAGGAAGTGTTTGGCAGCTAGTGAGGACTTTCAGAGAGAGAAGGCTTAAATCGGTCAGAAAAATGTCAACTGCTAATTCTAAATCTATAATTAGGAGGGAGTGACAGCTTAGGGTATAGAGCTTGGAATTCTGAGTTTGAATCCCACTCCCACAGACTGCCACTCTCGGTCTCTGAGCAAGACCCTTAACTCGGATTGCTCCGTGGGCGCCCCACGATGGCAGCCCACTGTTCTCCAAGGGAATGGGTTAAATGCAGAGGTACATTTCTCAAATGTGGGCTCAATAAAGTCCAATTATTATTTGTTTTTGTATGTTTCAAAGTAAATACAAAAATATTTTAACTGTTTCTAAGCATTAAAATGATAATGAATGTTTTCACACAGCCATAAAAACACCTTAGATTGTTCTGTTATCAAAAGGTAATTATAATTATTATTTTTTAATGATAAAAGTAATTATAACTTGTTATACAGTATATATTCAGCAGACCATAGATGGATTTTAGTTGCTTTCATACAATTTAGATCTGATTTAGATCCACCTATCATCAGCATTCTTTTGCATTAATTTTGCTCAGATATTTTTTACTTATTTGACTTCAGGTCGTTTTATTAGGTGAGGTAGAGCAAAACACACAATTTTGATTCATTTCAAAAACAAACATAAAGGCCTGTATTTGTTTCTTTTAAACACCCTTCTGGTTACAACTATGCATTCGGTTTCAGTTGATATGTTTTTGAGATCATTTTCTTAAACTCAATCCAAGTTGCAGTTGCTTGTTGTTGATTTGTAGGTACCAATGTGCCCTCAGAGTCTTCTGAAAATAGAACAACTGAGTTTAAAATGTTATTTATAGAGCATTTCATTAAAATAATAGTATATGGTATTTAAGCATTTATAGAAATTTCTGAATGTTTAAAAGAAAATTGTAAATGAAAAGAAACAGTAAAAATATGCTTGTAATGTACAAAGTTTAGGTGAATGCTGACCCTTGCAGGGTCTCGTTCACGATTGAGGAGAAGATGGAGTGGGAGATCAACAGGTGGATTGGTGCGGCGTCTACTGTGAAGCAGGCTCTGTAGCGGTCCAGTGTGAAGAGAGAGCTGAGCCAAAAGGCTAAGCTCTCAATTTAGTGGTTGATCTACGTTCCTACCCTCATCTATGGTCATGAGCTTTGGGTCATGACTGAAGAACGAAATTGGTTTTCTCAGTAGTACGTTTGGGCTCTCCCTTAGAGATAGGGTGAGGAGCTCAGTCACCCAGGGAGGACTCATAGTAAAGCCGCTGCTCCTCCATGTCAAGAGGAGCCAGTTGAGGTGGCTCGGGCATCTGGTTAGGATGCCACCTGGACGTCTCCCTGGTGAGATGTTCCGTGCATGTCCCAGAGAGAGACTAAGGAGACACTGGAGGGATTATGTTTCGCTGCTGGCATTGGAACGCCTTGGGATTCCCCCGGAGGAGCTGGCCCAAGTGGCTGGGGAGAGGGACGTCTGGGCCTCACTACTGAAGCTGCTACCCCCATGACCTGACCCTGGATAAGCAGAGGATGGATGGATGGATGGATGGATGGATGGATGGATGGATGGATGGATGGATGGATGGATGGATGGATGNAGCTCAGTCACCCAGGGAGGACTCATAGTAGAGCCGCTGCTCCTCCATGTCAAGAGGAGCCAGTTGAGGTGGCTCGGGCATCTGGTTAGGATGCCGCCTGGACGTCTCCCTGGTGAGATGTTCCGGATGGATGGATGGATGGATGAGCCTTGCAGTTCATGGGTCAGTGCTGGTAGCCCTTCCTATCACTCAATACCCTTGAATTAGCCCTCCTCCGTAAAAAGGTTGGTGATCCCTGATTTAGGGTCTCTTTGCTTCCTGGATGGCTCCTAAAAATCCTGAACAATTGGTGTTGATGTGAGGTTGGGTTTGGTTCTGGCCATATTTTCAAAACCTGAACTCAGTTTAGTGTTCCAGCAGGACAAGGATCCAAGACGACAATCAAAACGGGTTTAGAAATGGAACAAGCAGTGAAACAAGAAGCTTTTAAAAAAGATTCCCACCGTAACTTTTTTATCTATTAGTGGAATAAAAACCAGGTCCGTGCCGAGAACCGGACCAGTTTAATCCATTAGAAAGAGTTCTCAGATCATACCAGAGGCTTGTCGAATCCTTCAAACAGCTAATTTTTTGTGATCTGGTAAGGGAAATTTCCTCAGATATTGGTTTGGGTTCAGGTACATATTTAAGCAAATGTTTACATAAATGACTCTGCTGAGATGATGTAACATCTGTTCTGGCTCAGTGTGGACTTGTCATCTGGAAATCAGAGGGTTATGAGTTGGAATCCAATTTTATTTACTGTAATGCATTGATACATTCATTTCTGTTCCTTTAAGTTTCAGAGAGCCCCATCTCATCGCAGCCCAACACTGACACGGATTCAGCCAACACTTCTTTCCGCGCTCCGGTCATCATCATCACAGCTCCATCACGAGAAGATATCTTTGCCGCGCCGTCCAACGTCACCATAGCAGATGCAATGAAAGAGAGAAGGCCTGGGTCTACACCCTTTGTAGTTGGAAGGAAAATTGAAACCAGAGAGTAACCCAACATAAACTAAAAAAATATGTGAGTACACTTTAATATTTTATTTACAATATGAACCCACCTGATACAGAACAAACTGTCTGTAAGCCTTTAATGTGGAAATGGAGTATAGGCAACTTCCCTTGGAACATAATGTAGGTCATTTTAGCAACGGAACATATAAAAATTCAACTATAAGCTGAAAAAATTTTGCAAACAATACTTTAAAGTATAGTGGAGGATTTTCGCAAATTTTCAAAAAGACCTACCCACTCCACTCCAAAAATGCACATACACAACCCTGTACTGCTCCCAAGTGGGAATGCCTATTTAAGGTGTGCGAGAGCGTGCACACGCCAATTTCTCCATGTGAAAGCTCTGTTTAAAAGTTGCTGTTTGCATCACTCATACAAGCTTACTTTTCCAAAAGATTTCCACTATGTCAGACTCACCAGCGATAAGTCAAAATGAAGATGAACACGTAGGACGGCCTTATGTAAACTTATCACCAGAATGATTGACAGTTAGGAGGACCACTTATTTTGATGATCCACTTGGAAAAAGAACATCCTCCATTATACCTTTAATACACCTAATATTAGAGTATGTAAGGGGAGAGAGGGGACAGTTGCAACAGTTTTTACTTTTGCCTCCATTTCTCATAGATTATTTGAATTACAATATTTTAAGAGGTGCATAATCTACATCCAGAAAGTAAAAACCCTGCCTAGTTTTCCTTCATTCGTTGCACTTAATCAGGCGATTAGTCCTCATTTTGACTTTTAGTCCTAAAAAATGAAATGGCTGGAAATAATCTCTGTACAGGCTTTTTACCTTCTGGACCTGGATTTTTCCACCTCTGATATTTAGTACATCAAACTCACATTTGTCACCTACACACCCATTAAAAAAAATATATATATAAAAAAAAAAATCTAAAGCAGGTGACAGGGATTGTAACACCAATTTAATAGCAAAGAAAACTAGTTTTCATCACACTTTTTCCAGATTCAACTATTTAATCACGTAATGTCTGTTTCACAAACGATCAATTTGCATTATTGTTATATACCATAACACACAAAAAAAGTGTATAAACTGATATTGTTATTTCAGAGGAATATAAGAATTGATTAGGATTTTTAAATGGCAATAATGTCTTGAGGATAAACCGGAAAGGGTAAGAAAGCATCCACAACAATAGACCAAAAACAAATTGTTGTAGCATTGCCTAATGGGATAAAAACAACGAAGAGATGGTAGCTGTGTGTGTGCAGTAGGACTGCTTTTTGGTAAAATACCTAATTTATTCAACTGCCACAAATTGCAACTGTCCCAGCTCCTCCCTCCTGAGGACCAAAAGTACCAAAATACCATACCATAAATGGAAAATCCATAAAATGATTATTGATCTGATCTTTAGACATTTAGATAATTACATTTTTCAAAATAATTTAAAAAATATGAAGAGGAATATTTGAATCATTAACTTTGCAGTTTGATCTGCAGCAAATGAAACAAAATATTTAAATTCTGATGGGTAAATTTCCATAGATAAAAAAAACTTAAGTTAAAATGAAAATGTATTAATTTGTGAGGGATTGCCTTTGAGTCAATGATTCAATGCAATCAACTTTTTTTCCTTAGATAGAAAACTTGAATCAATCTAACTGTATGATCTGGTTGAATTATATCTCTAAACGTGAGATGATTCAGATGACATCTGTTGTGAATTGACACTATAGACATAAACTGAATTAAATTATTTTACCTGTATTATTTTGTTCTGTATTTAATACAATTTGACATATGCTAATTTATATTTATATTTGATTGATGTAATGTATTTGACAGATTTTTTATTTATTGAATTATTGGAATTTCTTAAGCAAGGAGCTGCAGCTGCAACAATGCCATTCATAATTAAAAAGAAAAACAATGTTACAGTAGAGTGAAAATATCTACATTATTTTATACATTTAAATTTCCTGTTGTAAAAATAATAAATGGTGTTTTCTTAAGACTGATCATGCATGGGGTTTACAGTTAAAAGTTATTTTATTTTTTATTTATTTTTTCGTACCAGAAACAGCGTCACTCCGGAAAAGGCCTAAAACAGCTATTAACTCCGTGAAACCTCATTGTTGTCCTTCCAGATGCATCAAAACAAAACACACGCCATGCTAACTGGAAGTTCTACCTGACGTTTCTCCTCTATTCTCCTCTGAAAAACCTTTAAACTCAAAGAATGGAGGCTGTGGGAGAGGAGGAAGCGGACTGTATAAAACTAAAGTCCATCAAAGACAGGAAAACGTTCATAGTGCCTCAGGGCGACAGGGTGAGTGGAGGAAAGATGAAACCGCACCGAACCTCTTTCTCGATTCTGATCACTTAAGCTAAAATAGTTTACGTAAGGGAAAACTAAACATGCAAGATACAAGTGGTTATATTTTACAAATATATGTAGCATTGGCTGTAAATCGGCATTTACTGAAATGTGTAAAAAGTTAGAAAAGATAAAGAAAAAAAGGTTTACATCAAATCCAGTGACTGAGACATTTCTTCCGAATATGTTTGTATTTTACCATAAAGTAAAACAAGATATGCAGCTCCAGACATTATGCGCTGTATAAGGATACAAAATAATGTATGAATGTATGATTATATTTTTTTTTGTTTAGTGTATGCTGGTGAAGATTTTCAGTCATCCAGGTCATAGTTATTCCAAAAAATGTAAAATAAATCCACTTTGTTTTCCAAGTTTGAAGATGTTTCTCTTCCCATCCAGGAAGCTTTTTCAATTCAAAATGTCTGACTGTTCTGTCCATCTACACCTTATTGACAAAGGACATTATTTTGGGGACCAGAATTTTCAAAGGAGACAGGTGAAGGAAGCCATTTAATGAGAGAAAAACCAACCTTAAACACAGGGGATGGACTCAAAAGGCTACAACTCAACAATAGAGTTGATTCCCTCCTGCTTTCATAGTCGCCATGGAGGGGACCAAGACATATTGCCTGGTCAGCCAGGCCAACAATGACCCTAATGACCCCCTTTCAGATGAATAAACCAGTATCGGGTTTTGCAGGCCAACAAGACCTCAACGACTCCCCATTACTAAGGGTTGGAGCTGTTCTTTTGGTTTAAATTTGCACGTTTTCTAAGCCATAACAAGGCTTTGTTTGGGCTACTCTATAAAGCCTGGAACCCAATGTTAATTCTGACATTTTGAGTTGACATTTTGAGAAAAATCTTCCTGGATGGTAAGAAAAACGTATTCAAACTTGGAAAACAAAGTCCACTGGTTTGTTCCTTAGCCTTTTTAACTTTTTTGGAATTTAAGTGTTTCTCACAGAAAATTTGAATCCTTTTTACTCTAATCTCATTTATTTATTTATCAGTTTGGAAGCTGCAGAAGTGTCAGAGAGTTTGAGAAACTCAACCGAATAGGAGAAGGAACTTATGGCATCGTGTGTAAGTTTTCCAAACACATTGGATCAACTGCATCTTGTGCACAGGGGAACTAAAGGACTGTTTTCTTACTTTAGATCGAGCCCGAGACACCAAGTCAGATGAGATTGTAGCTTTAAAGAAGGTCCGCATGGACAACGAGAAGGATGGTGAGTCCTTTTACAGCTATAAAACTAATTCAAGACACTTTTTGCAACTATATTGTGAACCTAATGGTAAATGTCACGTGCATCCCTCAGCAACACAGTTGCTATTTTAAGATGGTGCATTTCCAGCTGTATTATTCTAAAAGCTAATTTTCTTGCAGGGATTCCCATCAGCAGCCTGAGGGAGATCACACTCCTGCTGAGGCTGAGACATCCCAACATTGTGGAGCTGAAGGAGGTGGTTGTAGGCAGCCATCTGGAGAGGTACAGTCCATTTATGTTTTTTTTTTTTTATAAATGAGATTCTTTGAGTGAAAAATAGCCTCATTCAGTATGTTCAGTGTTCTGTGTTCTTTTAAAGTATGACAAAATGAATCAAGTCATTACAAAGTTCTAAAATTATGCAAACCTAACCACAAGCATACAGATATATAAACGTTTCCACTTGGTCATGATTTACCAGACTCAAAGTATGAAACCAAAAGAGAAAAGCTACTTGTGGAAAACAAACAAATGACATCATGGGATTCAAGGCTTAAGCAGCAAAATCTCCTAGTAGTGGATTAATTTGGCCAACTTTCCATTGCAGCATTGCTTCAGTTTGGAAGAATGTCGACTTGTTTCTGCACAGTTCTCTGAAGGTCCAATCCTAGCTTTTCCGTCAGTCTGGAGTCAGACTTTGACTAGTCCATTTGAATTTTGTGGTTGTTCTTTTTCAGCAGTTCTATCATAGATTCACTTCCATGTTAGAATCCTTGTGTTGTTTCCATCTGTTGGTTAGATGGTTTATATTTCGACTCTAAATACTTTAACTATCAAATAGAGTTCCTGATCCTCTGATCAACAGCGAGAGAATCCATCATCATCACCTCCACCACCATTCACATTAGTTCTGAGACATTTGTGTTGGTAGAAAGCAGCTAACATGCTAAACCTGGAAGGACCTCATGGAGTTGAACAGAGGAAATCTACAATATGTAGAATAAATGACCACAAATTGTTTGGGAAAGGCCATAAAAGTCTTCCTAGATTTGTTTTGCAGCAACATTTGCAATCTGACGGCCATTGCTGATGTTTTTGTATTCACGCACACAGCTGTGAGAGTAAGACCAACAAACTGCAGCAACTATTGTTTGTTGACTGATTAGTTTACCGAGTGCTTAGCTGCTATCTTCCCTCTTAAATCCTACAGATGCAACAAGATTATACTTGTTTTTTTTTCACCCTAGGTTTATTCTTTATATCTTGATGCATAAAACCTCAGTTTTAAAGGAATAGTACACCCAAAACATGATTAGCCTTCATTTTCTACTCACCCCCATGCTGAACAACACTCTGGAGTACTTTTTTGATATCTCAAATGCATCTGGAGATCTGGGAGGCTTCTTGCTGTCTGCTGACATTCAAATAATGGAGGTCTATGGCGCCCGAGGCAGAAAGGTCCATAAAAGTCCACAAAAAACGTGTCAATATTCCTCCATACTGCTCGTCCAATGTATTCCAAGTGTCCTGAGTGGGTAGCATCCAGAATTTACTCGAAACAAAGTCATTTAGAATGTTTTTAGAGCATAAACAGTAGTGTATAGGACTTCCTGAAAGCACGTTCACGAGTCTACGGAAACCGCAGCAGACCAAACCAGATGAAAGTGCGCATTCAGCGTCTGCTCTGCCGATAATGCAAGCGTAGAAGAAGAAATGTGCTGTTTACCTGTGCAAAGAAAGAAACAACGAAAGAAAAATGTCTGAGGACTTCAGTGTTGAGGAAGAGCATGAGTTCTTTGCCGAGCTGAATGCGCACTTTCGTCTGGTTTGGTCTGCCGCGGTTTCCGTAGACTCGTGAACGCGCTTTCAGGAAATCCTATACACTACTGTTTATGCTCTAAAAACATTCTAAATGGTTTGAAGCTTGGCTCACCATGTCTTTTTAAGACTTGTGGTTTAGATGAACCTTGGATGTGTCAGATTGATTAGACTGCCTTTGTTATTTAAGTAAATAATCAGTGTGTGAATGTTAAAGAAGGATGTAGGAAACAAGCAGATTATAAAAAAATCGGGTTTGTTGTTTTTTTCTTTTCTCTGTCGTCCCTTCAGTTTGTTTCTGGTGATGAGCTACTGTGAACAGGACCTGGCCAGTCTGCTGGAAAACATGCAGACGCCGTTCTCTGAAGCCCAGGTAGAACTCAATAATCTCACATTTCCCCTCCAAGAACAAAGGAAAATCCTTTATCTGTTATTCAGTATTTATTATTTAATGGCTTTTTAAGCTCTCATTTATTCCCACTAGGGATGGGCGATATGTTATCGTGTGTGATATATCGTCAAAGAAATTCCTCATGGTAACAATTTGTCATCTCGCGATAAAAACAATAAACTCTCGCCGGTGACGTATACTGCGCGTGACACACCTGCAGTACAACTCACGTGAGAGCCATGCGCAAACAACAAGCATGGCGGAAGGTGAAGGAGACGTGCCCCGAGACCTGGTTCCTAAAAGAGGCTCCAGCTCCGTTATCTGGAACTGGTTTGGATTTAAAAAGTCTGATACGGAGCAGAAAGTCGTAATATGCAAAGTTTGCAGACAACCTGTGATGACAAAGGACAGCAACACTACCAATTTATTTCACCTCCTAAAACACAAACCGGAACATGATGCTAGTCAGAAGATGCGCTGCGATGCAGCAGAAGCCTCGACTTCAAAAACCTCTGTTAAGAAACCGACTGCCACTCAAACAAAACTTGCCGACGCGTTTGCTGCTAAATAAAAATTATTTTATTTCTATTTTAGTATTTAGATTTTTCTGTTTTTTCCCCTTTATTTATCATGCCATTTGCACATTTTTGTAGCCCAACAGCAAAAAAGGTTGTTACAGGTTGATATAACATTTGAATTTTATTTTTAGTGAAGTGAGTGTAATGTATGTTAGAACTTGCACTGGTATTTATTTTTCCAATATATGGCATGTTCCAGCAACTGGTAATTTACACATCTATTTATATTAGGAGGTGATTACTGATTAGTTTAATTTTCAGTGAAATACTTTTAAGTTCTGTTTCTCAATTTATCAGGTTGTATTTACAGTTGCACTACTTTGCAACTTTTATAAGCCAAGTTATATTTGCTGTGTAGCATTTAAATAAATGTGAAATTTGTTCGAATATTTCTGGCTTGTCTGATTGGTTTGATACATTAGGCTGATATTGTGTTTTTGCTTTGTTTTTTATCGTCACTTATCGTTATCGTGGTAAAACCTAGAAATTATCGTGATAATTTTTTTAGTCCATATCGCCCATCCCTAATTCCCACACACTCTGAAACAAAATCACATTAACTAGGTGGGAAAGAGATGAATGGTACCTATTTAAATTTACACAAGTTACTTTGAACAAACACACATGAAATTGGTTAAATTTGAGTTTATGATCAAGTAAAGCTACCTTCTCTTGGGTATAGTTTCTGCCTCCTCTGCTCATCTCTCGGTGTAAAGGTCCTAAATAGGGGGGTAAATAATGATTGTTTTGTATCGAAACATCGATCCGACAGCCGACGATCTGATGCATGATCGATCTGGTCTATTTTTATCCATTTGCTCCTGGACATAATTCTGACTCCCGTGCTGCGGTGGCGCTAAACCTCTTTTGCCCTCCTACCTCGCTTCCTTTAGCCACTACCCTCTTTCCGCTTGCACACACTCACGTAAACAGAAGGCAAGACAGACATGGTGGAGATAGTGGAGGTAAAAGAAGAGGGAGGCAAGACGGACATGGTGGAGAAAAAAAGAGGATGAGCTACACACCCTTTGTGGGTTTAAGTCATTTGTTTGGAAGTATTTCTGTTATTTGCTGTTGTTTCTCAAATAAAATGAATAACGATATTACAGCTTTCATTGATTTATTTCAAATTTGAAACATTGTCTAGCCTGTAAGTTTGGGGGAAAAAAAACTGACCAATGAATCGAATCGTATTTTGCTATATTCTTGAGTATCGAAAACAACGGAATTGTTGTGTCAGTAAATGATGGGTGTGATTTACGTCCCTAGTGCTAAATACATCTGAGATGTTTGGTACAGCCCTTCCACTTTGCTGCGTATGCAAAATGAACAAACACAGGGTTGTGTTGTTATACCTTAAAGGTATGTTGGAGGATTTTTTTTCCCGAATTTTTGAAAAGACTCTCCACTCCAAAAAAAAAAAAAAAATGCACATGCACAACCCTGTACCCGCTCCCAAGACGAAACGCCTATTAAACGCGTTCGAGAGCGTGCAGGAGCCCATTTCTCCTCGTGCACGCTCTGTTTAAAAGTTCCTGTTTGCATCGCTCATGCAAGCTTACTTTCCTAAAGAAGATTTACAATTTGTCAGACTCACCACCAGTAAGTGAAAATGGGCACGAGCACGTAGGACGGCCTTATGTAAAAATATCACCAGAATGATTGACAATTAGGAGGACCACTTATTTTGATGATCCACCTGGAAAAAGAACATCCTCCATTATACCTTTAACAGTTGTAGAGAGTTTATGCGCAGAATTAAGAGCACAGAGTCATAGTTATTACTAGTTTTTTTTTGGTAAAGTTTGTTTGCAAAGACTAATGGAAGTTTTGTTAAATGAAATATGTAGATTTTTAATCGGTTGCTGAAGTAAATGGGTGCTAATTTAGCCAGAAACTTACAACAAATAAATACATATTTTCATTTAAGATGGAAAAACATTTTTTTGTCTGTAAATTTGAACTTTCTAGAACTCCTCAAGAGTATTCCGAGGTAATTATTTAAGTTTTCTTTCTTTTAATTTTTGCACCATTCATATTACATAAAAAAATATGGAATAAATATTTGTTTTAAGGTTAACTGTTTTTTTTCTGAGAGGAATGTTTTTGTGTCAGAACTAAACGTTCTTTATATTTTACAAATTTTCATTGAAGAGGAAGCTAAACCTCTGTGTTTTTGTGATGGTTTGTAGAAAATGAAGTCCAAAACAAACCAGTCAGGGAAGAACTGGTAGAGATTACTCCATCTAGATTAGGATTAAGCAGCGGGGGTTGTAATCTACTCTATGACTACTACTACTAGAGCTGCTCAAATGCTGGTTCTTTGTTGGAAAACAGTTGATGCGTTATGGAAAGAGGATGTTTAACACTTAATGCACTTTGGGTACTTTTACTATTTGTATACATTTGAGAATCTGTTTTTCCCTCAATTTCAAGGTTAACAACGAGCAAAAACAAAAAGTATTTGCCTGGATGTGTTTATTTTAAGTGCCTTGAATTTAAATTTGTCTTATCTACAACCCATCTGTCCAAATGAAGGGACACTAATGTCCCTTTTGGCCAACATCAGGGTTTTTGGGTTGTTATTTTTAATGCTAAAGTTTCTTAAGGAAATAAGTGCGGACAGCATATGAAGGCAAAGTAAGAATAATGTTTGGAAAAAGAAGGCCGGCTGTTATCAGCACCACCATCGTGGTTTAATATTCTCCTTATTAATAATAACCTTGCAGAATTTTGAAAACAAACATAAACATTTCAACTAATTAAAGAAATAAAATTGTCCAAAATCCTCATCTGAAAAAAACGATTATAACTCAGCGTTTTTGTGAAGTTATTTCTTTTTTCCTTCTGCAGGTGAAGTGCATCGTCCTTCAGCTGCTCAGAGGTCTGGAGTATCTCCATCACAGCTTCATCATCCACAGGTCAGAGCCAGACTCCTGTGGTTCCTCTGTCATTTTGTGGTGGAATCAACTGAAATTGCTGCATAGTTGTGAAGTGAAAGGAATATGATCCATATGTTTGTATTTAGTTATCCCTTAATAAAATCCAGTCCAAATAAGTTTCTTTATTCCCTGTATAGTTAGTACATTTATATAAAAACTGCTGGTTTTAAAATAATATCACAATCTTTTAAGTTCTCAAAGAGATCTGTTAAATCTGTCCTCTGAACATGGAGAGGATGGAGCTTCTATTTATCTACCGAGACATCATTCTAGTTTTCTTTTCATGTAAAAAGTTGCAGTGATCAATAATGCATTGCTCTGAACGGGCCGCCCTCATGATAAAACATGGTGGTGGCAGCGTTATGATGTGGAGATGCTGCTGTGGATGGAGTTAAAAAGGGCAACCCTGGAAGAAAAACAATGCTACAGATGTCCAGAAGAGTCTGAGTTGGAGCTATTTTAAATTGAACCTGTAGATGCAAAGTTAAGAGACTTAACTCGAAAGAATCTGTATCTACGAAGGACTGAGCTTCAACAAATAGTACATTGTTGACATTTTAACCCTGAGAAATTTTGAAAAACATTTTTTTATTTTGACAGCTGAGGCATTTTTTGGCAGCAGAGATAAAAACATGCACATTTAGGGCAGGGCAACTCAAAGGGATGTAGATTAGAAAGATAGAGGAAAGTACATGGCAGTGGTAACACAAAAAAAGAAAGATTTGATTTGTTTGAAAGATAAGTTGGATAAAAACAGAAGGAAAGTGGGACTGAAAATTAAATAATGTTTAGATATAACAGTCAAGGGACGTTCTAAACAAATAAGTGTTTAATCTCACTTTAGTGCAACTGAGGATTTCAGCACTTTTACTGTTTTCTTAGAGTTTATTCCTGATTAATGGAGCATAAGATCTAAAACCTGCTTGTTAGGTTCTGGTCCGGAAGAATGGATTTGGGCCAAAACACCTGAGAGGTCTGGCTGTTGATCCACTGACAACAAGTCTATAATGTATTTTGGAGCTAAGCCATTCAGTGATTTATAAAAGTATTAAAAAAAAATACTTTCTGTAATACGGAGCCAGAGGAAGGAGTTTGAAACAGCCTATATTCTCCACTTGCTTAGTTCTAGTGAGGACGCAGGCAGCAGCATTCTGGATCAGCTGCAGTGTTTCTACTAAAGATAAACACATAAATTAGTCTTTCAAGATCCTCCTGAGACATTTGTCCTTTTATCCTGGAGATGTTCTTTAGGTGACAGAAGGAAGATTCTGTTACTGTCTTTTAACCTCTAAAGCAGGCATCCCCAAAGTCGGTCCTCGAGGGCCGCTGTCCTGCAGGTTTTAGAGGTTTCTCTGCTTTAGCACAGCTGATTCTGATGATTGCAGTTCAGCAAAAGCCTGTTAATCAACTCTCAATGTAAATCAGCTGTACTGGGGCAGGGAAACCTCTAAAACCTGCAGGACAGCGGCCCTCGAGGACCGACTTTGGGGATGCCTGCTCTAAAGGTTCAGATCCGACTCCATCACTGCATCCAGATTTAAAGCCTGATTGGTGGTTTCTTGCTGGACTAACTGAAGCTATGAGTTAACTTTAAAATAGTTTTATTTCGGTCCAAAAACTATAACTATAGTTTTGCTTTAGCTGAAGAATATTTTTTAGCAAATTCATGCTTTGATTTATTCTATGCATTTACTCAGCACCTAAATGGGTTGCTAGTCACCTGATGACACCATAATTTATAGTTTTTTGTGGTCTTCATAGGTATTTAATTATTGTAGTTGGTGAATAGGAGGATTTCCTCTGATGCAAAGTTTTCTACTGACAGAAAAATTTAAACCAGTCCTGTATCTGAATGGCCGACCCAGTTTTCCATTAGCTCTAACAAAATGGAGTGATCAGCAATGCTGCTCTGAGGTCCAGTAACAGCAGCACTGTAGTTCATCCAGTCAACATTTATATAGATGTCATTGAGGACAGTCTGTTACTGCGGTGAGTTTATTTACAAGGTACCAGATTTTCTAACCCTGACTGACCCCCATTTAATTGTTTCTGTCTGGGTTTGCTTTCTTCAGTTAATTGGGTTTAACTTGTATAAATGTACCTTTTTTGTTCCTCTTGTACTGACTTTCAAATTGATCAACATCTGAGGAGATAATTGTTCCAGAACTAGTGCATGGGTGAAGTTTCATACACTGTTAAAGTTGGTAATGGTTAAAGTTCTGAGCTTATAACCCGATCTGAAGCCAATGATTAGGTTCAGCCTGAGTTGTCAGATGATCCACTGAGGTTCAGTTAGATTCGCCCATGTTAAGCTAAAAAAAAACACCTCTGTTTCAGCTCAACATAGCAGACTAAGCTCTTAATCTGAAAGGGAGAAGACATGAAGCTGTGAGCAAACGCTGAGCTTTAGAGAACCTGAGGGGACAGAAGATGTGCAGCAGCGGCCTCATTAATCTGCTCTATCTCGTTATCAGGGACCTGAAGGTGTCTAATCTGCTGATGACTGACAAAGGCTGCGTGAAGATCGGTGAGTCTTTAATACGACATTACCACCTCCGCAGCCACAGCTGTTCTGGTTGCTGATGCTACTGGCAGAATTTTTTATTTCAAAAATTCTCCCCCAGATTTTCAACTACAAAGAAAACAAATATTCCTTCAAACATCCTGTCTGCTTGTTGAAGTAAACCTTCTGCTTCTCTGTTTTCCTCTCTGGTTCAGCTGATTTTGGATTGGCCAGGATGTACGGCATCCCCCAGCCGCCAATGACCCCCAGAGTTGTAACGCTGTGGTGAGTGTTTCTGGACTCTGAGCTCCAGAACCGATGGATTTTCCTCTCATTTCTCAATGCTTTGCTTCATTCTGCCCAGAACCTTCCAAACTGTCTAATAGTTGCTTAAAGCAGCAGGTCTCATATTTAATATGAAATAAGTACAAAAATATATAGATTTTTTTATTCAAGCAAAAGTATTTTTTTGGTGTCTTCTCTGAATGAATCTCAGAACTCGATTTGAAAAGTAAGAAGCAGAGAGGTTTCTGCCGTCACTGGATTATCAGGTTGCTGGTCAGAGCTGGAGACAAAACAAGGATCCATCCAGGCTCAGTCACAGATTCACTGGTGGCGGTTACGTTACCAGCATTTGGATAAGTGTTCGATTCCCTGTTCATTTTAGAATGGTTCTCCCACGCTGGCAGTAAAATACACTTAAAAGCACCTGAATCATGGCTCAGATAAGAGCTTATCCTTTCATTAAACGTTCAATCACTCGCCTGTTGGAGCGGGCTGCTGCGCCCGCACAAGAATCCAGTCCTACAGTTTCTGTTTTTTAAAAACAGCCACAGAAGATTTAAAAAAAGAGTCAAAACTACACATTTAGAATATCAAAACTTGTTGTAAATTTCATTGATTGATTGATTTTATTGATCTCACAGTGGAGAAATGAACTTGTCACTTCGGCTCAATAGTCAAAAGAAGGGGCCAAGAGGAATAAAAGGTGTACAGGGTGTATACAGTATGTCCACACATATAGCTGAAGTCACTTATTTTACAAGATTATTATACAGGGTTATTGCACAGGGTATTTATATAGATGTTTTTTATATATATATTCTATATAGCCATTGGCACTGAGTATTAAATATAAAAACAGGTCATTGTACAGGGTATTAAATAATAGTTGCACATTAGACATTGCAAAAGTTATTGCCGTTATAGTGTCGCATATGTCCTGCTAATTGATGTTTATGGGGGAGTGAGGTGGGGGTCTTATCCTGAAGACAATCACCATCTCTTTGGTCTTACTGGTGTTAAGACACGGGTGGTTCTTCTCACACCAGTCCACAAAGTTCATGATGACCAACCGGCACTCCAGCTCGTTTCCCTCAGAAACACAATGGCAGAGTCATCGGCCATTGATTCGCTTCAAGTAAAAATCTTTAATTTTTTTGTATTCAGGTTCATTTCAAACAGAAGGATTTTTATCAGGTCTGCTGGAAAGTATTTCCTATTAAAGATTTGAATAAACCCAGGGCTGGAACCTCTCCACTCTCCCTCCACACTCTGAGCCCGTTATTTACGAATAAAAAGTAAAGCTGGTTTTTGTCTGATGGGGGCATTTGGACCATTAAGCAACGTTCCAGATTGTCCATTCAAATTAGGCGCCTGTGACATTTTCTCAGGTTGCTTCACAACTTTTTCTTTCTGCCCCAGTTTTTCCTTTCACTCATTTTTCATTTGTCTGCCTGAATGCTGCTCTCTGTGCTAACATCCTTGTGGAGCGTATCAGTTGCTCTCTGCTGGACTGACATCACATCAGCAGTCTGCAAAATAATTCTGGTTTAATTAAAAATCCTCCTTTACTGCTTATATATGACAATTTGAATACTTTCTGTTCTGCAGCTGTGAATGATCTGGTCTCCTTTGTTTTGATCCTTGTTGATCTGCGTCCCCTGTACTGTAGAACCCCCTCCCCCCCTTGTTGCTGTGCATGCACTGCATCAGTGGAAACTCTGTTAATCCTCTACAGTAATCCAGCTTCATTATCCCATTGAGGTCTGCACTCTTTGTCCTTTCCTCCATGCAGGTACCGAGCTCCAGAGCTCCTCCTGGGGACAAAGACTCAAACTACAGCTCTGGACATGTGGTGAGAAATAACAGCAGATCTGATCCACAGTTAGCATGGCTTGATGTTTTCATGTTTTTATACTTTTGCTCAAGTTACTGAGATGCATTTAGAGATAAAAACCAGCTGATCTGTTGAAGAGGTGTTGCAGGAAATGAAGCAGGGCTTGTTGTTTCCATCACAGGGCAGTGGGCTGCATCCTGGCTGAGCTTCTGGCCCACAAACCTTTGCTTCCTGGAACCTCTGAGATCCAACAGGTGGATCTGATCGTGCAGCTGCTGGGAACCCCCAACGAGAACATCTGGCCGGTGAGCCTCTTCAGTTAGACCCAGGACAGCTTCTAATCAAAGTTCTGTTTTTGGATAACAACTTTTGTTTAAAGATAAATAATTTAAGTCAACCAAAAGCCTTGATGGATGAATCTGGTTGGAAGTTCTCCCTGCTTGGTTCTAAAACCTCTTCGATTGGTTAGAATCTGTCACAGAAATTCAGCCCGTTTAACAGATTTACTGGGATTCTTATGCAAATCCATCTCTCAGGTTTAAAGAAAATCATTATAAAAATTTCCAGTTGAGCAGTTGTTTGATTAAAAAACACCAGTTTAAAATCAGAGAACAAAGTGATACGAGATGATATTTCTTCACCCCTAAAGATATGAAAAACTGAAACTCCAACTAATGAGCTTCAGCAGCAGATGAGCACTGACCGTTGCTCCTGTTTGCTAAAAGGAAAGTGAGGCTACAACACAAAGGCTCACATATGGAAATGGTTTCAAGAATAAAGTCAATAACGTCAGTGGACGTCAATAACGACAGACATCAGCCTGACCTTTCCATGGTAGTTCTGGAGGTAAATTGGGTCCAAACCCACCGACAGGGGTCCCTGTTTAAGTGGAAGGTGAATGAGAACAGATTAACACTCTACAATTAATCTAAATCTTTACTTCTTTTAGAGGACTTAGGTTCCAAACCTTTCCTCCAAAGTGCTCACAGACATAAGATCTATAAAATCTGATTGATCCAAAAGAAAAATTGATAATTTTTCTTATTTGAAAAAGTTTGGAAGTTAGTTGTTAGTTGTTGATTTTTAATTTTATTGTTATCAATAGGACTGGGTTTGGGTCCATCTTTCTTTTACAAATGTTTGATGCGTTTAGCAAAGTTTAATAAATCAGTTAAATTATAATTTAGGTTTTCAGTTGATTGATATCCTGAAATCAAAACTGCTAATGATTCTTATTAAATCATGATTTTTCCTCTGGTTGCTGCAGGGTTTCAATCAGCTCCCCCTCATCGGTCAGTACAGCCTGAGGAAGCAGCCCTACAACAACCTGAAGAACAAGTTCACCTGGCTGTCTGATGCTGGACACAGACTGCTCAACCTGCTCTTCATGTACAACCCACAGCGCAGGTAACGCAGCCCAGCTTCCTCATTAATAATAGCTGCAATCATTTCCTCCACGATGAGGTTGAGATGGAAGTTGTTCTGTGTTCCTGACCCAGAGCGACCGCCAAAGATTGTCTGGAGAGCTCCTACTTCAAAGAGAAACCTCTGCGTGAGTTCAATACTCTACAGCGTTTATGGTGGCCTCTGACGTGCGTCTAACCAAACGGCTTCTCCTGTTTCAGCCTGTGAGCCGGAGCTGATGCCGACGTTCCCGCACCATCGAAACAAGCGAGCGGCTCCTCCGCCTGAGAGTGCCTCCAAGAAGAGGAGGAGCAAAGTCTGAGTGGGACACAGAGCGCCCCCTGGTGGGGAGCTTCACCACTCCATGCCACACTGTGAGAAAGGAAGACTGTTAACGATGCTTTGTGAAGTTTAAAAACGTTGTTTTCAATGAGAGACAAAGACGCAGCGCAGGTCTGATCATCAAACCGCTACATGGTGAGGATGGTTTGTTTTATATGCGGAAATAGAGTTTATCCTTACTGCTTCTGCTTTCTCATTTTGGGATTTTTATCAGTTCCTCGGAGGACTCTACAGGCCTAAATGAGATTACATGAATGTTCAAATCAACATTCAGGATAAGAAGTTTTAACTTAAACCATAGCCTGCTTGCTTCAATGCAATCAGGAGGAAACTGGTCGGTCTGTTCTAACTGTAACTGAACGTCTTTGATTGTACAAACGCCTTTTGTTTTTCCTCTGTGAAAACAGTCTGTATTGTACAGTAGTGCTTTAATAGCATGGTGTAAATCAATGGTGTGAAGTTTTACAAATTTTAGTGTAAACCGACTTCGTATCCTGGGAGAGAAACACCGGGAGGCATCATTTGTGTTGCATGTTTCAGTAAAAATGTCATCACTATGAAAGTCATCTCCTTCTTCTTTTATACGTCATAAATGTTTAAACTGGATAGAGAAAATTTTAAAGATCTATTATAATGTGAGAACTCCTTATTTCAGCCCAGTTTGACCTCTAGGTAGCAGCTGCCTTAAAGGTACACTATGCAACCGGTGTTGATTTTCCAGCGAGGCTCCCCCCAGAGGGCGAAAGTAAAAGTGCACTGTCGTAAATATGCACAGCTGTTCTCCTGGTTTCTCCGTCAAGCCAGGCGCGGTTATTTTGAGCTTAGCAGCGAATGACTAACGCTGCGTTCACACTGGACGTAGCTGGCGCGACAGAAGCAGCGAGTTTACATGCAAAGTCAATGGTTGATGCGCGTCAAGGCGCAGCAAAAGGTCCCGCGGCTCGTTTTGAGCAGCAGGCGCAGCACGTCTGAGCAGCTGAAGCAGCGCGTCGGGTGCATTTAACGCAGGGAGAGAGACACAGCGCTGATGATCACTGCTCTTAAACAGTTTATTGACGCCTAAATTAACTTAAAATGCAGAAATCTGCCGGCAGAATATGCAGTTTGGATTATTTAGATGAAAAACACCTACCAGCTGCCGCGGTGAACCGCTGCTGATGAAGGGATCCATACTGTCGGAGCAAAGCTGCTTCAGCCACGCGTCAGAACTAACTGGTACAAGCAGCAAAAAGGAAGCAGCAGACGCGATTTTGCTGCTTTTGCTGCGTGAACGTAGCATAACTGCACAAAGATTGCCACTGTGCTAGCAACGAGAATGCTTTTAACTGGGGGCGTGTAGCAGTTCTCGCCGTAAAGCAAGACTGACTCTCACGAGACTTCTGAGCCTGTGGGTGCGGGTCGGTGCTCCTGCAGTTGCAAGTGCAGTATTTCCCCCACAGACCACCAGGGCGGCCGAGAATACCTTTGTTCAACCTGAAATGACTCATTTAATCATCCATAACGTTATGGAACACATTAACTGAAAAATGTTGCATAGTTTCCCTTTAATTTCTTTTTAACAATTGCTAGCTATGTGCTAGCTATATTGACTGAACACACATTAAACTTGAGATGCAACAAAACAAACTTTTAGGTTGCCGAATAAAATTGCCCAATAGTTTTATTATTTCCAATGCCGAAATGTAAAACGAATTAAAAGACAGGTTGGGTTGCTCTGATTTGCTGTCAGACTATTTCCTTTCATACCAGAGGGTTCAAAGGTTTCAGAGTCCTATACATCTCTCAAGGCTGAAATGAAGCTTTTAATTAATCTTTTTCTAAGCTCTGAATATGACCTGTTTCATAGAGGTTAAAGGGAGAAATGTTTGCTGTGGTCCAAAAAAAGAACATGGAAACTAAGAGAATGACTGGATAGATTTCTGACTGATATCTATGGATGGCTGAATGCATTCATGGTCTGTCAGAATAATGGCCTTAGACTGGCTGATTAATGAATGATCAGGGGACAGATGATCCATGGGCTCAGAGGTGGGAGTAGTGATGGGTCCAGCAACACCGATGTATTGCCGCATGCATAGAGGCAGACCAAGTATCGGTGCGCATATCACTTCAAGAAAGTCACATGAAATAAACGGTGCATCTGTCAACAGATGAATCTTTGGGAAGAATCTGATCTTTCGCGGTTCGTCATGGAATTCATAAATTATTGAGCACCCTCAAGGTAAAAAGGTTTCAGCCATGTGGGACATTATGATCTCATTTGTTTAATTTTCTTGTTGAATCACTCTGTTCCTCTCAAACCTCCCCCTAAGCACTAAACCTGAACTGTCAGACTCGTTATTTAAGGGCTGGACGGTCCGCTCGCCCTACCCACCTCATGGTTTGGGACGACTTAATTTGATGGATCCTCTGCAGGAACGGGCAAATGGAGGATTAGTGCTCAGGGTTAGCGCTTAGCGGGCTGTTATAACTCGACTTAGCTGAATTGAAATTAAAACTGATGTTTAGTTCAGTTTTTACTATACTTGTTTTATATCGTTTTTTGTTTTCTAGTCCTAATTCACACGTTCATATTATTGACTGCATCTAAATATATCAGATATTTTCAATTTACAGTATAAAGTACAATAACTGAAATCATAGGTCATCTAATCAGTCATTTTAGTCTGCCTGTAAGGCTTTTAAAGGTCCAGCAGGTGTCGGTATTGAGTTGCCGCCTCAACCCATCACTGGGTGGAAGTATACAGAGGCAGAGATAAATGAAGTGCTGAATTTAATGTTCATAAATAAAATTTATTTAATTTCTAAACCAATTTTGATTTAGCTGGAAATGTAATTGTAAAATTGTGAATGTTGTAATTTATAATATTTCAATCATTCAATAAATGGAAAAAATGTTTAGTTATTTAACACAATATACCGTAATTAGGTTTCATGAAGTATTTTGACCCTTCATATAGCTCAGGCATCGCATCATGGTAATAAAAGACGACTTGTTACCCTCCATTTGGTGTCTCCTGAGCCCAGTTTGGGAACCTGTTCTAAAGGCTGGTTTTCTGATAAATAGCTGAAGACAGATGGACGAAAAAACATTTTAAATTAATTTTGTAGCTTATTTTCTGTGTGTTGATGAGCAGTGTTAACTTTAGAGTTTAGCTTTATTGGCCGAAATGCTCATGAAAAAGGCGTCATTTCCAGGCAGCAGATGTTAGAAGGTCAAATCTCAATTTTCTGTCTTTTCTATGCAAAGTTTGTGGAGAAACAAAGCTGATTTAGGTAAATCCTTCTTGTTCTACAATCCTTCCTTCCCGCAAAAACCAAAAACAATGAACTGGTGGATTTATGTAGAAAGAAAAATGTTCATGTGACCCAAAAACATTAAACCATCAGAGGTACGAGTGTTGGATCTTTTGAAATGTCCGTTTTTATTAACTCTGGTTAAATTATTAGTACGGTAGTAATGGATACACAGCCAGCAGCAGGTTAGATCCCCACACAGGGACTTCATCAGCTAAGCTCCCAGAGGAAACTTGGACAAACACAGAGCTGGACCACTGTAGCACTGAGTTATTGATTCACAAGTCTCAGACGTCGTCGCAGACGTCCAGCAGCTCTCCTTACAATCAGATGGCTGAAAACAAAACTATACAAGAGCATCAGCATCTGAAGGGAAGGTTGGAGGGAATTCTTTCTTCCCAACAAAAAAATAAATAAACCAGGACTTCCTTTCACCGGAGCTCAATCAGCAAGAAAGGTAATACTCTGTAAACATACTCTGCATCTCCACTGGTTACACACAGGAAGTGACTAATGCTTTATAAATAAGGTTGTGTGACAGACGGAACTACGTGTGCAGGAGGAACCAAGAGATGTGCCGGACTGAGCGTCCTTTGGGTTTTAACAGACTGGAACGCAAATTAAACCAAAGCACATAATAAATTAATTCTTTGCTTGCAATTAGCTGCTAATCATTTGTAGTGTCTTAATCTGATGACACCTGTAAAATATTTAAAAAAATTCAAATTTTTTGGTAGGATATCATCTAATTCAGAGTGATCATCATTGCCTCTGCGGCTGTTTTTTTTTTCTGTTACCTTTTATGGCTCTTGAAGAAAGATAATTGGCATCAGAAATCAGTATCTGCCAGAAAAAGTCGATTTAGTTGAAAAAAGAGGACTCTTAACGGCAAAAAAAAAAAAAAAAAATTTAGAAGTGATTTGTCCTTTTTTTTGATTAAATGAGAACTGATAAAAGCTGCTGGCAGAAAACTGTTTGCTTTTGCTGTAATTCTTCCATTGTTGATGCTAATAAGCATTTTTATCATTTGTTTTTTAAATAATTCGATTTTTTTGCAACATAATGAAGGAAGAACCAGATAATGTTCCTACTTTTCCTCGTTCCTTTCAGCCAGGCACATCTCTCCTGTTGGAAAACACTTCAGGCAGATTGCTACCAACTTGCACGCCTGATGCAGACGTTCAACATTAAATAAGACAACAACAGCCTCCTGACATTTCAACACAAACATTAAGACAGGCACGCTCAATAATAAAAACACTGATGCATTCACACGCTCACATGCCTGGGGGAAACTTCAACTTCTGTTTCACCTTCAGCCATCAGGGTCCTTGGTGTGGATCCGAATCAAAGTGCACGACAGCAACAAAACGTAGGGTCCTTCAGTCGGAGAGAGAAGGGGCTCAGATTGGGGGACTTGGAGGGATTCCTCATGTAAAACGCAGCAGTTCATGTAGTGGAGATTCTGCAAGGCTACGTCATCAGCAATGAGGGCGAAACACAGGAGATCTATAGAGTCCAACTACAGAAAAATCACACTAAGACGTTTCTAATGTGGCATTTGGTAAACGTCCTTCAGATATTCTAAAACCTCGGCCCGGTTTAGCAAACGTCGGACTACAAGGTTTATTGTTTTACATCCATGAGAGACAATAAAACCAGGAGCCCAGCTGAGAGATGAACGCTGACGCAGCGGTGAGGAGGGTGAGGAAGAGGAGGAGGGAGAAGAGTGTCGTTACTGGGAGCGGGTGGAGGGGAGGGGGATCAACCCTCCATCCCAAAGTCCTCTGTGAACTTCTTCACCTTCATCAGGTCCTCGGTGTTGACAGTGGGCCGCGTGGTGGACAGGGAGCGCAGCATGTCCGACTGCAGAGGGACAGAAAACCTTTTACTGGAAAGAAACAATCTAAAGGAAATAAAACATCTGATCACTTCTTTGGATTTCAATCATTTAAGACGAATTAAGCTCATCAGGTCAGTATTAATTTCTATGCATCCCAGGTCATGGAAATAAGGGGTTAGATCACTTTTGCAATCAAAATACAACGGTTGTGCAATTAAGTAAAACTCCTGTGTGAAGAAAAGATAAAGAAGGCTACACTGTAAAAATAGGATTTTATTATCATCAAGAAAACCTAGAAAAAGGGTTAATATTACAAGCTTTACTTTATAAGTTTAATGATGGAAATCAAGAATAAATGATTTTCTACTTTACTGAAATAAACCTGCAATTGTTTAACCCTTTATTGCCACCACTGCAGCAAACAATGCAACATGGGGAGATCAAACACAGGGTGTAAAGGCTTCATTTAATACCTTAAGTTATCATATGAGTGTAAAATGTGAAAATTCTGTGACTTAGGGGTAAAAAAAAAAGTAAAAAAAAAAATCAAATTTAAAAAGCAAATAAGCCAAGTTTAAAAGTAAATAAATTCAGTTCCTGTATCTTCTGGGGGTTATGCTGCCTCTTTCCCACATTTCTTATAAAATTAAACTTCGCTTTTTGGTCATTATTACAATGACCTTGATTTTTGTTTAACAGTTAGAAAAGTAATGAGGTATTGTTCTGTCCTCTAGTCACACTCCTGACTTGTCATTTTGACTTTCACAGTATTTCACCGAGTGCTCTATGAAGCCTTAAAGCTGCATACCTGCAGAAATGTTTCATCTTTAGTTTTTAGGAACTAAATGATAATTCACTAATTTCCATCTCCTTATGGTTTAAATGAAGAAAACAAAATCAACAGTTTTCACAGTAATGATTACTTTGAAGGAGCTAAAATATGTTCAGAAGCGATGCCAGATTGGGCAGGTTTATTGAGATTAACATTATTTTGAACACTTCTCACTGGGAAAAAGAGCGTTAGGTGGGTCACCTTTTTTTTTCCTAAGCAGTTTAGAAAGTATCCAAAGGAAGTTTCATTTTCCCTCAGATACATTGTGACATTATTAAAAACTATTGCCTTCATTGGTCCAAAGATTTTTCTCTTGTCACTTAGAGGATCATTCCTCTGAAATAAAAATCCTCTCCTTCAAATCATTTCAGTGGGACAGAGAAGATATGAGCATCAATCATTTAAAAGCAATATGGAACAGTGTCAGAGGTTAAAAATTATGCCCAGTTGAAGAAAATAATCTGGTTCAATTTTAAAAAGTTTAAATGGTTCAGAAATCAACCTTCTGATGATGATCCTGAGCTAAACTAGCTATTTTTTCTCTAGGCTTCCTGTAAAACGGAGGAGCTATTGGGAGGTAATGAAACCAGCACATTACAGGCACCTTGAAGATATTACAGGCTTTTTTTAAGGCTGATGCTGATTATTTTGACATCAGTGGAACTGGTCCAGAAGTCCTGCCGTTTTTCTTTCACCATTTACATGATAAAAACGACAATGATAACAATGTTAAACACATTTCAATTTAAACATTTATCAACAAATTAAACAAAACATTAGCAAAGGATAAATGCCTGCGGTGCACGGCTGCTGAATGCTCTGATGAACTGCCAAAGACACAGACGTATTGACATGAAAGAAACATAACTATCTGCCAGCAGACGTGTTGCTCTATCTGTTGAAGGTATGTTTACCTTAGGAAAGATCTGCAGTTGTTAAACCATCAGAGTTCTAATAATGGTTTTCTAATGGAGCTAAAAGTGAGGATGAAGCCATTGAAAACAGAGGAAATTCGCCTCAGTTTTATGATGAAGATGAATAACTAAGCTGAATGTGAAAGTCTGCCAAACCTAAGCCCCAGTTACTACCCTTTTGTAACCGTGCCGCGATCGGTCCGAGCACGGTAACTGAGATAACTATTGACACAACCGAACCGCTCTAAACTGGTACTAGATCATCAGTAGGGCTCGGCACGGTTCAGTTCAGGCTCAGTTCTCAGATAACAAAGAGCGCAGGAGCAGACCGCATCATCTGTTTACAATCAGCCTCCGTAATCATGAATTTGCATTCATAAAAATACTAGCTTCCCTACCGAGCCACATGATTCCCAGTGATGATTCTGCTTAGCAGTGTGATAAACTTTAACATCTGTCATTGTTTCCTGGGTCTGTAAGCCTTGATTAGACTATCCTTTGTTGTATCTACTTCCCAAAAGCAGACAATATCACGTAAATCCACCAAAGGCTGCCTTCTTTGCCTGACTCTCTGCAAACAATAAAATATTACAATTCTAACCAAACTTCCTGAACTTTAATGGTGCCGCCATGTTGATTTGCTTGTTTCCCTCTAGAGCAGTAGTACCGTAGAACGTCACTAGGAGGCGAGGAGTGGCGTGGTGTGTAAAAGGTCGTAAGGAACCGAGCTCGGCACCGTTATCTGATCCCAGCTCGGTCAGAACTAGAGATGAGAATCCAGCAGCCGAGGTTTGCTGGATTCTGCTTGTTTTATCTCACCATGCAAACTATAGGCTCCAGCAGCTTATCGCTTGGCACATCCATCCATGTCATCTCTATGGCTGCAGGGTCTCCAGGGGAACACGGGGTCAAGAGGTCGTCCACCATCACCTGGTTGTTGCTTCTGGATGGACCACGAACCTGCAGCGAAACAAGATGCTTCTTTTCAGAGCGGAAAACAACGAGCAGCTTCTGACTGGACATCTAAACTATACCTAGAAGGTCGGAAATATTTGACTTTTTATCAGAGACAAGTGTGAGAACCTCTTTTGTACCTTTTTAAAGTGAGTGGCTGACTGGACCTTTCTGACCGGCTGCATGAGAGCGTCCCGTACGATAATGCTGATATCTGCGCCGGAGTAGCCATCCGTTTTGTGCGCCAGCTCCCGCAGGTCGCCGTCGCTCAGGCTGTGCGGCGTGTTGCCAAGATGAAGTCGAAACATCTGGGCTCGGGCCGGCTCCTCCGGAAGAGGGATGTAAATCCTCTTCTCAAATCTGACGCCAAAGAAGAGACGTTTAGCAGGATGTTCAGCAGCTGAAAGGAAATCCTTTTTTCTGACGCTTTGAAAACAAACTTAACACAAAATCAAGCAGCGATGCTTTAGATCAGCAGTGATATAATCTAAGGCATTATGATGAAAACTACATGAAAAATCAAGCAACTCCAGAACCAAAATACACGAGAGGAAACTGGAGGATTTCTTCAGCATCACTGATGCTTAGATTAACAGCACTCCTAGAGGTTTCAGTTTTCTGATCAATCAATGTCAGAGTTTTTCAGACAGAAATAAAAAGAACAAAATAAAAATAGCTCAAAAAAAAAAAAAAGAAAGAAAGAAACTTGACACCATAACGCAGCCAACACCATACCTCACTTGGTATGATGAATGTCTGGTAATGTAGTCTTAATTCTGTTCAAAGCATGGCATTTCTATTGAAAAATACATTAATAGAAATGATTTTTAAATATTAATATCTTATTTTAATATTTTAATATTAGTATTTTAAATATTTTATTAAGTCTCAGAGGAGAGCTTATTGAAATCCATCAAAACTGATAAGGTTGAAAGATGTAATAGGATTTGCTCGTATGATTAATTTTTCATTTTAGTTTTTACCTAAATAGTTGTTTTTGTTTTTTTTCACTGTATGTTTCATGCTAAAGAACATATTTCATATTACAACCTGAAGAAGATTTGAAATTATTTATAATTTATAATAGCCTGTAATAATACAGGCTATTATACCCTGTCATTTTATACAGGGCTTTGTAAAGTTTAGATATCCACTTTTATTAGGATCATTTATGTCACTAAATGTTTTTAATCCCTTATATTTAGATATCATAGCATTATTCAGTGTACCTGTACTTATAGTTTCTCTCCATAATCTCTGACTAAAAGAATTTAATTGTAATAAACACAAACCGGTGGTAATAATAATAATAACCAAACTGTAAAAAACACAGCGGAACGTAAAGCAACAATAATATTGAGGTAATCAAACTTCTAACCTTCTACGAATGGCAGCATCAAGCACCCAGGGGATGTTGGTGGCTCCAAGCACCAAAATACCATCGTTATCGTTTCCCACTCCTACACAAACAACCAGCTGCAGTTAAAATCTGAACAGGCTCTTTATCTCAGACAATATGATGTTAAAGGTGTTTTGTAACTGAAACTTCTAACTGCTGTAATGAAAGGTGTGGAGCTGAAGGTCTAAAGGATGATTAAAAACATCCATCAGACCGACCTTGCATCTGGACCAGAAACTCTGTCTTGATGCGGCGCGCCGCTTCACTCTCGTTCTCGTTCCTCGAGCCGCACAGGGAGTCCACCTCATCGATGAATATGATGGAGGGTTTGTGTTGGCGAGCCAAATCGAACAGGTTCTTCACCAATCTGACGAAGACAAACAAATATTTTGCTCTTGCTAAAAAAGTCCTAAAGATGCTGCGTCAGACAGCAGCTGTTCCTGCAGCACAAACCGTACTTCTCACTCTCTCCCAGCCACTTGGACATGAGATCTGAGGAGGACACGGAGAAGAAGGTGGAGTTGTTGGCTTCGGTGGCCACCGCCTTGGCCAGGTAGGACTTTCCCGTCCCTGGGGGGCCGAACAACAGGATGCCCCTCCAAGGAGTCCGCTTCCCTGAGAGCAAAGATAAGCAGCAGGGAAGTCAGCCGTTCTGACGACGAAACGATGACAGCTATGACTGTGGCTGACAATCCACTGAACATTTATAGTGGTTGCTATGGAAACAGTCTAAGGATGCTGCGTTTAATGGCAGGGGGAAGATCAAACGGTACCTGTAAAAAGGTGAGGGAATTTGATGGGCAGGATGACGGCTTCCTTTAAAGCTTCCTTTGCTCCCTCCAGTCCAGCCACGTCGTTCCACCTGACGTTGGGCTTCTCCATCACGATGGCACCTAAAACCAGAACACGGTGAACAGGAAGGACCTGGAGACGCACAGGCTACATAGCTATGACCCATTTAAGCTAACATATACTCAACCTAAAATCTGTTTTTTTTAAAACAGATTTAATGATCCCCAGTGGGGAATCCAGGAGCTCCAGCGACAAAAGGAAACACAAATGTAACTTAAAAACATATTTAGGAATAAAATAGGATGGTAAGACTAACGGTATAAAAAAAACTGCAATAAAATCAGGGATTTAAAAAAAATGATAGAGTTTGTTGGGAGCAGTGAAGGTTCTAAAGTCTAACAGAGTCTGCGTTAACGCTCCTTTGAGCTCCTATGGTGCAGCAGAGATCTCTCCAGGTCTTCAACAGACATCCTCCACCAGTGATGTTATTTTCCTTATAGCCCTTATGTCTCCCACGATCTGCATCCAGGGACAGAGCCAGTCTGAGCAGGACTCTGGAAAACTGTTTACTGAGGCAGTCATTCAGCCATTTGACTGAGGTGTGTGGAAGCAGAGGCACATCTAAAAGGTTCAGAGTCTCTGGGCCTGGTTTAAAATAGCCTCCTTTTCCACGTTTTTCAGACATTTCAGTCCAGTTTAACTTCATTTGAAAGTATAACTTCCTTCAATATAACCTCAAAGCAAACCAGACTGTAAGAACTGATTGAGATGGTGGAGGAAATACTTTGATAAACTTCACAGATTTCCCTCTGAGAATCACCTCTCTGCCTCAGTCACCATATAAACGGTCCCACAGCATTTATTGCTGCGTTTTCCTTTAGACGTAGATCTCATTCTGTTTTTAATATGAACATTCTCTATCTGTTCTGGTTTGAGATGCTGCACAGACTCAAGTGGGGCTTTTCTTTATAGAATGCGCCGATGTTTGTTTATAACTTTTCATAATATGTCCAAGGCAAACGTGGGAAATTGTTTTGATTTG